AATTAGAGATCACTGTTTCCCAACAAAATCACGAGCATCAAGAGTAGCGTAGCCTATTCCGAACTATTTATTTATTTCGTTCTATCTTTAAAAATCATGGCCTCTAAACAAAAACAATTCATACACAAACAATATTGAAACAACTCTGCATATTATGTTGGAAGTTCGTGTCACTTCCAGATGTGCGGGAAGAAAGTGGCTTAAAGGTCACGCTAGTGAGCAGAAGTTCTCTGCTTTTTAATACGAAGTAAGCCACGACATGAATTAAACGCTACTTCAAGTGGTAAAAACATTGGTAAATGTTTGACATGTATAGTTCTAGAAACAGGTCTTCTAAAGCAATGTTTACATAAGAATTTTCTTTCTGCTCTGATGAGTGACGCATAATCATGCTATAAGACGCATGAGATTTTAGAGGCGAAAGTTCAAGAATGCCGTGGACAAAGCTTTGTTTTTTCGTTGCCAAGACAAAACCACGACTTGTCAAAAAAGGAAATGTTACTCAAGAGTGAAATTTGGTGTCGAGACCCCCGGCATTTCTACCTTGAGAGCATTAAAGGTCACTTTTAAAAATCTCAAAGCTAAAATCTATAATACACTTGAGTCTCCTTAATAATCGAACGCATCATTAAAATTTTACCATCAATATATATGCAACTGGGCGTAAATTAAAGTTTCTCGAACTGGTAATCTAAATGAAATTAAAAGTTGTACGTGTTGAATTATGTATATGTTCGTGGATAATGCCAGCTAACTCCTTTAAAATGCGACTGAACATCATCAATTAAGAAATGTTCGCAACATCCTAAACGTAAACAAGTACTGTGTTACTTTCTTCCTGAATCTTCTTTCAGCTTTAATTAGATATTTGGAAACTAACTGAAACAAAGCTTCGAGAGTTCAACAAAGCTCCCAAAAAACACCTCAGACTAACTAAGTCACGGTTTTCATAACTTGTAAACTGCAGCTAAAATTTTTAAAGAAGGTCGTTTACAAAGCGAGACAATCTTATCCAATGAATCTTCGCCATCCTAGCCCCTTTTAGATTTGCTCTTCTCATTTTGAAGTTTTTCTATTTTCCTAAACTGACTCTTTGTTGTCCTGCGATAATGACGATCGAGAAACAGCGTGACGTGGGTGTTTAGGGAAACTACCGAAACTATTAAGGCTCTGTTAATTCTTTTCTTAAATACAAAATACAGAAGTCGGTTGGATTCAAGAATTGAATCATGAAAGTGTACGTTTTTTTAACTTTTACCGAATGAATTCGAAAGTGCATTTTATACAGTAGCAACAATCTCTTGTAAACACCCGCAGGGCAATATCACAGAACGAATTCCTTTGCATCCAATTGCGCAAAAAAATATATTTGCACTAAGTCAATTAAAACCAACCCTGATCTCAATATTAACTCTGCCGCCTCATCAGAAGAAATTATTGACTTAGGAAATAATTTTCGAGTCCATTTATTTCTTTCTAGGCATGACTCAAGTTATATCGCCATAAAACGGGCAGATTAAAAGCACTGCCTTTGCATTTACAAGTTAGACAAAGCGAGACCTAGCTTCCTTGATTGAAAGTATCATAGCCATCACTGAGGTTTCCTCTCACTTTATATACTATGATACTGAAAATGTCCTTGCGTGGTTTGTGGGATCGTAGTATTCTTAGAAAACGTTTGAAATTTTCAAGAATGGAGAAATACAATCAACAATACTATTATCAGCCATATGAATTTTGAGTGTTTCTTTTGCTGCAGATAACGAAAATTTCGCTCAATGTGACCTCAAAAAAATGAAAATTGTGCAATAAACCTACCGTTAGTATATGGATGTACGGTGTTGTGAGGCTGTTGACTGCTTTGCTGTCCGGAGCCGGTGAGCAAAGAAAGTCAAAGCAAGGACGCGTCTCTCAGTGAGAATGAAACAATGCTACCTTGATTGTTGATGATAAATGAAAACTGCTAACTACGATCCACTCAACCATTAAAAAAATTTCTTTTATTTTCCGCCATTGAGGCATGCCTCATCAACCTTTTGTTTAATTCAAACGGTATTGGACATGAAAAACTATGTTTGAAAATACTCAAAAGAAACACTTTTCCTCTCTATCTGCAAATAATTTTATTCTTAAAAATTATCACAAATTTTCTTTTTAGTCTTGTTCTAAACACAAGCTTAATGTTTTGCGATGCATCAAATACATGCTTGTGGGTGCTTTGTTTTTTAATCAGTGTCGTCACCTCAAATTGAATTGCGCGTTTACCACAACGGGAAAAGTTCAGTAAATTCTAGGGCATAATTGTTCTATTACGTCAACAACCACATCGCCGGAATGTTTTCGATATGACTGTAAAACCAAATGGGGTTTTTATATTTGAAAACTGTCTTTTCGTGCGGATGTACGACATAAGGAGGGTTCTAGAAAACACTTCTTTCTTTAATTCCTCAACCACGTAATGAAAACTCTGTCGATCCGCTAAATGGGGCGTAACTAAAGACGAATAAGTTTATACACAAATCTATGGCTTGTTTGATCGGAATGGTGGGAGCTGGCAAAGCTGTGTTATTTGTCAGCCGTTAGGATCAGCAAATTTAAACATGAAAAACATGTGAGAATTGGTAATTTCGAAATTTCCGCAAGAGTTATGATCTTCTCGCCTTTACACCAGGAAGGTGTAATCAAACTCTTCACTTGACATGCTTAACTGGAAGCGTAGGTTACAACGGTCTTTAGTTATATAGTTACAGTGTTAAACTGTAAAGAGCAAGAACTCATGATACTGGATGCGATTGAAACAGACGACACCAAGTATGCTTAGTGAGTTAACCTTAACTAGCTATCAGGTAACTTCCGTTCTCGACGAAAATGAAGAAAATTGTTTTGAGAAGAATCAATAAACGATCGCTCACCGCTCCCCGCTCCCCCCGCTACTAAACCTTTAGGTAAATCGGCGGAGGTCTCCTGTCTTGGCATAGGAGGCGCTCCAAAAAAATTCTTCGTGTAAACATGGAATTTTGAATTACGTGAGGCACACTAACACAATTGATGATGTCATGATATGTATTTAATCAATCAATCAATCAATCAATCAAAGACCTAATTTAACTTCGAATTTGGGCTTTTTTCTCAAGGCGCAATAGAAGAGGAAAATGTCCTGGGAACGAGTTTGGGAGTTTTTTTGGATGATTCTTCTTCCTCCGCATTACCGTCATCAAATGATCATTATGTTGGGAATATAATAACTAACAAAATATTTATATACAGAATTACTTTGCAGAACTTTTTTTCTTCTTGTTTCTTTTCCTTTTTCCTTTCAGGTTTTTTCCCCTTCTTTGCACGTTTCTGTTTGGTCAGTCCATGATCAAATTAGTCATAAGTTGGTCTTTTGCGCGGAGGTTTGGAGGTTTCGCCATATTGAAATCCTTACAAAATTCAAAATTTGAAAATTTTGCAAATATTTTGCTGGGAGGTCGGAAGTTTGGCTTCATTACAAATTTGCCTCTTTCCACCTTGCAAGTGAGTTAAAACTGTTGCGTCTAAGAAAACAGTTGAGAGTTTATCATTGCTACTTCATTTTTAAATTGCGCTGAAATTATTAAAAAAAAACGTGATATAAATAAGATTCTACAATCGCAAGTAATCCTTGGCGACTGCTTCAGTGGAAGTAATTCGTGAAATAACAGTCGAGCAAGCACAAGAAAGTTGCGAATATAAACATATGAACATTTGCATGATTGTGGCTGCACTAAGGCAAGATATTCAAAGGTATTTCCATCGAATATCAATGACAACAGTGCCCTGAGAAAAAAAAAAAATTTGCACGGTTGGATGTCAGCCTATTCATTTGCGCCATGCGTGTGGGCTTACTGTCTTCGTATGAGGTCTGTTAATTTTGATTTTCTGCGAAATATTTACAGAGTTTAGAGGGACTGGATGTACGCTGGACACAGCACGAACCCGATGCATTCAATACAAGACGAGGGAAATCGCATTCATCTCCCAGGAAATTAATGATGTTATTTCTAATTGATATTTTCAGTTCGACCGCGGTGTTAAAATTAAAGAAATTAAGGATAATGAAATGCTAATCGCCTCTCGAATTACCGGTTTGTGATAAACACATTTCTGTTCTCACAAAAAATTAAACCCAAGTACCATAAATGTCAACTATAAATGCGACAATATTTCTGGGAGTGCTTCAATTTAAAACTTAAGATTTTTCTTTCCCTCGCTGCTTACATTTGTGGTGAGCTTCCCCGTTTTATTCTATTACAGCGAGGAATGAAAAAAATTCAGACAGCAATAAGTGAAAAAGTTAGGAGTAGCAATATCAGTGTTTCACTTTGACGGCATTAGTAAGAGCAAAAATATAATAATAAAACGGAACGTATAATATATAGGCAGACGTTCGTCGCAGTACAATCTATCAGTCGATTCCTTTTTTTTTCTGACAAATAGAACATTTGGTTATCAAAAAAATTCACTTTTATGATAATCATGGAACTAATTTGTCTTTTTCAAGATCACCCTTATCATCCCACTGTTTGTAAATGCAATATCCACCGAGTTTTGTCTGTATTAGGTTACCCTGAAAATTAACGAATCAAAAGAGTTTGTTTGAGGCAGCTGTCGACACCCTATTGTTGAGAGCGACTCAAAACGAGGGTGTTTGTCAGCCGAACTACAATTAACCTAGATCAAGTCAACGTTTCACCGAATCGGTGGCACTTTGCTCTTTTCCTTCACCGAATCTCCGGAAATTACTGACACGTTGGGCTTTGCTGACTGACAATCGGATTCGTGGTGTTTTCTGTTCGTGCGCGTGACCGAACTGACGAATCTGTTATGTTAACCGAAATGTGAAAGTTTCTCAATTTGTTTGCTTTCTGCATCCCAACTTTTTCACTGCGGCTTTTCGCTGGGGCGAAATAAAAGTCGAAATGTGGACGTGAAGTCAGCGAAGTTAGATTGAACATGGATATAAGGAATATGTATTTTGAATTTTTTCCGCGAATCTCTATCTTGGTTGTGTTGATTTGTGGAGTTTTGGTCAATAATGCATCTTCTATTGATGTCGGTGAGTTACGAACTGTCTGGCTTTTTCTAATCTTCAGTAATTTATATCAACTTGGCAACGGTTCACTGTTTCTATAGGTTTAAAGTTTGTAGCATATGTCTCACTCTGCCGTGTTCTACTGGAACAACCGCACTATTTTTCGATCGAAAATCGTTGCATATTTGGGATAAAGGCAAAATGAGTTACGTGAGGAAAAAATACTTAGTGTACAATGTTTACAACAGGACTAATGTCCTTTTAGGATTAAAAACGACAATTGTTTGGAACTTACGCAAGGCAAAATTGAAATCGTCACCTTTTTGTGATGAAAATTTCAATTACACTCGTTTTTAAAGTCACAAAGGAAATGGAATCTTCATCACAAAGCCCTGTTACTTATATAGTTTGAAAGACTGATAAAGCTTTTACGACGGTGATTTCTTGAAAGCGAAAACGTATTGAAAAAAAAAATCAACCCACTATCTTTGTATGTGATGAATTTCTTTTTATTATATTCTTCTTTGTTTGGCAAACTGATAGAGAGGCCTGCGGGGTAGATCTAGTCCTTTCCTTCACGATTTTGTTTTCAAAAATTTAGACCTCAGCTGTAGAAAACACATTTGTTTATCAGTTGGCGTTTGTACATTTCTCTGTTTTTTCCCGTTTCGTACATTGTCTGATTAGTTTTTCCATCATCTCGATATTTTTACAGTTGAGACTGTTTTGATTCAGCGCAGTCAGACGATAAATGAAAGAGCAAAAAAACGATTAAATAACAACTTGGCGTTGTTATCCACTCTACTAGGAAGGCTTACTTTAAGTTAAGCAATTTAAAGTAAAATTACAAAACCAGTAATCAGTTTTCAGGGTTAGCTTTTGAGGTTTTCCACAACACTATTAGAACCACTTGTGATTCGGGGTGACCTTGTATTCTGCTGACCTTTCGCATGAACTTAAAAAGACCTGAAAAGTAGGTTTGTGGCCTCTAAGAATTATATTTTTCAGACCATCTTCCCCTTCTAAGTTTCACATTTTGATGACGCGTGTTTTCCTATTTAGGAAGGATTATAAAGTTCCGATAATCCAAGTTCCCAAATGGATTTCACCCACGATAGTAAACCCTCTTTCCATCATAAATCCGTCTTAACTCATACTATTAATCTGAAGAGTCCCCTTTTCAGGTTCTATATCAAATTTTAATAGCTTCTTAAAATGTCTTCCCAGTTTAATTGCGTAGTTGCCTAGATCTCAACCTTCTTTTATAATGTTTTAATATTGCTCAAGTTCGGAAATTTTGTTTTCCTTTTTCTTCAAGAAAATCTCAAAATAGGGTGCTTTCCCGAGTCTCCTGCAAATCGGGAGTTCCGGGTATCTCCAGGAAACTATCGCCCGTGGAGTCTCACACCGTACGATTGCGTAAGACTTTGTGGCGACTTGAAATATCCTCTCTCTGCTCTACAAAATGGCAACTTGTGTTTTTGTGCAAGTTTTTTTAATTCCTCGCGACAGCAAAGCTCAAACTGTACCATAGACTGTACTGGCGACAGCAGCTACAACTGCGGTGGAACTTGGGAGAATTTAGTGTACAACTCGAGCTCCTTCAAAGACGAACTAGTCATAAACTACTCCAGTTCTCTAACCGTTTTCAAGTGGATTAATTTAAGTGCAGTTTTTGTCAATAGAAGCTCTCCCGCACTACGTGTGGCTTTTAATATCGGAGATGGCAATGGGGAATCTCTTGGGGAGAACGCAGAATTTAGATTTAGAGCTGTTTATTGGGGAAAAATAATTGTCAAGGCTCAAGTATTGAATGCATTCTCGGTGGGTTTTGTTCAGCGTGATATTTTCGTTAAAGCTTTCCCAGGGAGAGCAGAGTTGAATTGCCCTTCGACTGTTCGTACGGAAGACACTTTCCACTGCACAGCGAAAATTTACGAAGGGACAACATTAGCGGCAACATGGATGTTTCAAAATGGAAGTGAAAGGAATATTTCCTTGCCAAGTAAGTTTCAAAATGCGTTCATGTTTGTTTTGGTGATAATGGATTTTTCATTTAATTCAAACCTTCGGTTGGTTCGCGACCGCACAAATTTGACAGAGTTTGTTTTGAAAAGATAAAACTCAACAAGAATTATGACGCGGAGGTTATGAAAAATAGCATCTTGATTAATATGACATTTCAAACAAAGCTGAGTAAACGAAACGCATTTATGTGTGAGAAAATAAAGAATGTAATCTCCATTTTACATTTTATTCTTATTCCAGGGGAAAGATACAACATGTCTTTAAGTTTCTAAGCAACCCGTCAGGTTGTAAGTCAAAGGTTTCCACGAAATTTGAATTGCTCTTCTGTTGTTATTAAGCCTTGTTTTCCTTTTATTTAAAACGTACAGGTTATTTCATAACCTAGATTGATATATGTTATTGCAATGAAACATCCTAAATATATATCGTAGCCTTTTTGTTTATTTTCCTCATTCATAAAGCTCTGACCGTCTTTGTTTTGATTGACACTATCAAACAATATTAGTCTTGCTTCGAAAAATTGCGCCGGATTTTCTTGCCGTCTCGTACAAAAAATGGAAAATGAAACAGATAATTTTTTCTCTGTTCATTCGTGACAGCGAACCTTTTCGTGATTGTTCACTTTAAATTTTGAAGAATATTTCACTTTACTTATCTATATTAAAGAAAACATTACGCTTGTGCGAATGAGTTTGGTACCTATTCCAGCTGAGTCGAGGCAAGTATCTCCTGCGCCCAGGTTTGCGTAGGTTGTTGAAATACAGAAGAGATATTACAACGTTTTATTTACGCCGTTGTTAAAAGCACATAAGCTGTTAACGATCCCAGAAACATTATGGCGATTTTTTTTGTCGTCTCCGCTAATGTAATGGACTTTTTGTTTAAAGTAAATATTCAGCAATTTCCTACGCCGGACATGCGTTTATTTGTCTTAATTTAAATAATATCGAATGAAGTCCCCTTCTTTAGTAAACAATTTTTTTTAAAATATCAAGTACAAATGTTAAAACTAAGATCAAAAGCTAAATTATCCATAAAAATAGCAACATCTGAAACGTCAATTTATTAAAAAAAAAATGTAGCAATGTGGATAAATCTCCTTGTCCAGCAGGATTTTGTTTCAATGTCAATCAGCGAGGAAGCTTCGAGCTCCGTATCGAAATCTAAAATCTGCGATAATATCTCGGAAAAGACAAAAGTCGAAGACACATTTCAGTCAAAATTGGCAACCATCTCCGAAAACTTGATACTTATTGAGATAATCATCGATACTGTTTCCGAAAATTTCGTTTAAGTAGAACCCATCAAAACTATCCGCGTGTTCAAATGTTTTATGAAAGGCTCATCTTTTCCAAAATGGTCAAGAAATCTTTAAGAGAAATTACTTTTTAGAGAAGGAAAATTACACTTGTCTTGAGTATCATCAATAAATTTAAAACAAATTTTGCTTGATTTTATATAACTTGGGATAAATATACATGATTGCTGGAAATTTTTTAATTTAACCACAGGTAGCCCCTAGCTATAGATGAAAGATTACAAAAGCGATCGTGTTTTTTACGGAACCGTCGTATTTTAAAAAAAAAAGTGTCTGGGATTGAAAATGATAGCTAACCTCAATATAATCGCACGTGTTTCCTACAGGTGTGACTCTTGAGTTGATTCACAGCCATTTAGGAAGCTTTTACTTCCTACGCTTTTTCTTTCATCAATTTTTTTCCCGCGTTAGGTTGCGAATAGCAACCGCAGGCTTCAACCTCGGGGAAAATATTCGATCGTCTCCCATTTCCTTGTAGATCACGGACGAAAGTCCGCAACCGTTTCGTTCTCTAGATCTTCTCTCGACCCGCTTGTACACTAACAACGAATCAAGGGCCGAAAATCTGGCTGTTAGGAAAGGAACTAAAATTTGTTCACGAAATACTATATGAAGAAATGTTCACAATACCGACTTATCTACGTTTGCTACGCTCAGATGGAAGGGTATTGATGTTACTGCGATTGAAAGACCATCACTCGTACCGAGCGTTGGTGATTTAAATCCTCTCATGGTTTTCGGGACACAAAGGGGGAATAACACATCGCAAAATGATACTCAAAGAGAAGAAGAATTCTCGGCTTAAATTCCATGTTCTCTTTCTTAGTCATAACAACTCGAATTTACCATTTCAAAAAATTTCTTCTCCATCTAAACAAACTTCATGTAAACCACTTCACAGGTCCCCTTTATGTACGAGCTGGCTCGCCAATACCTCAGTGGGAAGTGCAAAATCTAGCATCCTCATATGGTAGTGGAGTGTTTTTACTTCCCTCGTCCCAGTTCTCTTCCGAAGCGCGCCTTTTGGCCCTGGAAATATATGGTCAAACAGCAGGACAAATAAAAGTGTTTGTAAGTATCTTCTAAAATCTATTAAAATGAATAGAGGTTTTCCATAACAAAACCAAAGCATCACTCTGGAGAAGACTTGATTTCTGTACTCTCGAGCTGCAAACCTCCATATGGCCCTATCTTGTTTCACAAGGACACGAAAATAAATAGAGGTGTTTTTTCGTCTTGTTGCGAGCGTGGGACAAGGAAAAAATATTGAGTCTCCATGAGGAATCAAACCTCAGACCTTCGTATTCCGCGCTTCGACGCTCTACCACTGAGCCATAGAGACTCTACGGTGAGCGAGGTGTTTTACGAAGTTCATACTGCGAGGATCAGCAATGTCGATAGCGTCATGTTTGTAAAAGAAATAAAGAAAGATGTTTTTATCGTCTTGTCACGATCGTGGGAATTTTTTCGCAGCTGTCTTGTTTAAACAAAACATTGCAGGCTCTTGGGAATAGAAGTGAAGGACACAAGACAAAAAAATAATGGTGATTTGATTTTATTCTTTTTTTTTCCTTAGGTTGTGAGACCAGTGTGTAATTCACCAACATCCTTCTACTGTCTAGTTAATCAGTCGTGTACGAGCCAACCGTGTACCTCTCAGTTCATACACCAGTGTGTATCTCCCTCTACCCTCTGCGTATCAAGTGCTTCTTGTACTTCCTCACCCGGCGGAAACTGCTCTCAGTCCTCCAAGTCAACGACACGGCGCGCAAGTCACTTCAGAATCACCGCTGACCTAGGTGTTTTGACAATCACAACAGGCTACAATCTGATAGTTCTTCCAGAGAACCAGACTTTTGACGTTTCTCCCGGGGACATGATCGCTTGGGGACCTGTAACGGACGGGAAAGTTGCTCATAAGCCAGGGGAAAACACAGTATACAATTTCTCAAGCGTCAATGCGAAAACCCTTCAAAATGGAGCGGATATTTATAAAAATCAGTCAACTGAAATTTCTGACTTGGATTACATGATCAATATTGTTGGATCCCAGGCCTCAATATTCGAGCTAGACCACCAATTCAACCAATCTGGAGTGTACTGGGCCCGAGTCACATTTAAGGATGCTCTCGGAAACACTTTAGCACCGATAACTCGACAAATTCTAGCCCAGACTCCCCTCGTTGAAATCAAAATTGTTTATCCATCAGGATTTCCCTTTTATGGAGTTCGAACTAATCGCAATATGACGATGACAGTCGAAATTCCCACAGATTCCAATGTGAATGTGTCGTGGACGCTTCTCAACACGAGCACTTTGTTGAAACGCCAAGAATTGCAAAACGCAGGACAGAGTTCTTTACGAGTTCCGCTCAATATTACATTCTCCAGCTTAGGGACGCACGTTATTCTTGTTGAGGCAGAAAACATGATAAGCTCGGTCAACGCCACCATTTTTGTGAACGTCCAAGACTCCATATCTTCTCTAAATGCTTCAATAATTTCTGCACCAGTCTACCTCGGCGCTCAGTCAAAGTTGATTTCCTTTGCTATTGGAACAAATGTTCGGTATAAATGGAACTTCGGCGATGGTGCAGTGACTTCCTATATTTCCAACACAACTGTTCATCACCGTTTTGCAAGAACTGGAACTATAAATGTTTCTGTTATTGCATATAACCTTGCTTTCAAACGGACAACTTGGTTTCAAGTCCAGGTCCTTCACCCTCTTACTATTTTCGTACCTAAGCAAAGTTTTGTGGGATTGAAATTGAATGCATCATGTTCACTGGTCGGTCCTTTTGAATCAGACCAATACTATTACTGGAATTTCGGAGATGGAGTAACAGAGGAAGGAACCAATAAAACAAAGGTCTTCCACAACTATACCAAAGGTGGAACGTACCTTGTCTCTGTTAAGTTAAGAAATGAGGTGCTTGTCAACGCAAGCTCGGAAATTCTTGTGATAGAACCAGTTTCAGGACTGACCCTTGATAACTTTACTGGAGTTGAGCTGTATGACAATCACACTTTCGTTGCCAACACTACCAAAGGAAATAACTTAACTTACGAGTGGTTTCTGCACAGTAACAATTCCATAACAATCATGATTTGTACAAGCAACTCGATCGAATTCCATTTTAACCAAACAGGTTTCTATACCATCAGTGTAAACGTTTCCAACGCTATATCCTCTGCATTTGCTTCGTTCTCGTTTTCTGTGCAAAGGCGCATAGAAGGACTGGGTATCACCGCATTCCCGAATCCTGCGCCCTCAAACAGTACGATAACTTTTAACTTAACCAAAGGTTCGGGAACTAATGTCAAATATCGGCTAGATTTCGGTGACGGATTCGTTTTACGGGAATTTCCCGAGAGCTTCCTCTTTAACCGGACATTTCTTTCCGGCCAGTGGCAAGTGATTTTTACAGGAGAGAATGCTGTTAATCATGTGATTGTGTTCTATAATGTGACTGTTCAGGATCCTGTTAAAAATATCACAGTCGGCGTACAGCCTGCGGCTTTATTTCATGGTAGAGAGCTTGTGGCAGTTGGGGAAGAGACGCATTTATTTAGCAACGTAACTGAGGGCACGGATGTTTACTTCCTCTGGGATTTCAATGACAGCAGTAGCTCCTATCCACACAAAGGTTCTTTACTTCCCACTGGAGGATCCAACCACACCATTACACACTCATTCCCGAATAAGGGCCCATTCAACGTAACAGTGAAGGCTTATAACGTTATAAGTCGATTATGGTCATGGATTTTCGTGTATGCGCAACAGAGAATCGAAGGATTCGCTTTAACTGTGACCGACCCAGCTTCTCCTGGTGATGAAATCACTTTCCGTTTTTCACAAATCAAAGGAGATAACGTTAGTTATATCATCAACTACGGCGACAATAGTACAAGTCAAGTCGTTGCGACTGATAAGGTGCTTAAAACTTACAACAACACCGGGGTGTATAATGTAACGGTTAAAGCAGTTAATCAGATTAGTTCCGACACAGCTGTAAAAACAATAACGATACAGCAAAAGATTCAAGGCTTGGATTTCATTTCCACGATAAATCCAGTAGAAATTGGATCACCCACAGTGATATCGTGGAAAATCGCTGCAGGAAGTGATGTCAAGTACGTGCTCGATTATTCTGATGGGAGCGCTCTTCAAGTTCTAAATGCGAACGTTGTAGGAATGAACGTAACTATTCACCACAATTATACTTTTGCAGGAGAATTTACAGTCAAAATTACTGCGTACAACCTTGTGGGGCCTAATAATACTATACAAGCCAAAGCAGTGGTGGATGAGAGCATAGTGGGTCTTGTAGCGTATGCCCAGAACAATACTGTAATTATGTACGAAAAAGTTGTAATTTTGACGTCGATTCTAAAGGGAAGTCGAGTAGAGTATGAATACAACTTTGGCGATGGCTCTGCGCTTGTTACTACAAAAAACAACACAGCGCACACGTATAGAAAATCCGGAGCGTTTAATGTTTCAGTCACAGCTCGCAACGGTCTCGGTATGGCTACCGTATATCTAAATTCCACTGTGGAAGTAGGAAAACCACGTGCGCCGTTACAGATCCGGGGACTTAACGTTTCCTGTCAAGCAACCACCCCTGAAAATGCAAGTGAAATACGCGTCACTTTCGAGTACGGATACCTGTTTCAGTGCGAGGTTGACTTTGGAGATAATTCAGAACAGAATTACTCAGACTCAAACCTTCCTTCCCTGCTGCTGCACATCTATAGCAGTGTGGGCAGTTTCGAGGTGATCGTGAAATGTCAAAATGAGTTAGGTAGCGACATAGCTCAAACGATTGCTTTTGTCGATGAAGTCATCACTGGACTAAAATTCAAAAGTGGAAATGGTGTAATTCATAAGGAATTTGGTCAGTCGGTTGACGTCGAGTGGATTTGGGCAACGGGAACAAATATCAACCTTAGCGTCGTACTGCATGGCCACGGTCCAATAGAAAGTCACCGAACTAGTAGTACATCAGAGTTTATCCGGCTAGGAAACACCCTATGCCCGAGCCCGGGAAATTACACAATCGATATCACACTGTCAAATTCCGTCACATCTCCAAAAGCGCTCACAGCTGTAATTATGTTCACAGAAAGAATATCAGAACTATCTTTGAGCTTTAACCCGGTTGCAAGAACTGGGTTTCCTGTGCCGTTTTTTGTTACTGTTTCTTCAGGGCTAGATGTCAAAATTCTTTGGGATTATGGAGATGGAAGGGACAGTGAAAGCCACAATAGAGGCTTTGGAAAACAGAAATTTATCTCCAGTCACTCATATATGTTGCAAGGGACCTACACAGTCGTTGTTTTCACGTCAAATTACAATTCGGGAGAAAATGCAACGGATAACGTGACCATTATGGATCCTGTACAAGGGTTTTCGTTCCATCAAAACAACACCTTGATTTGGCCTTCAAGGAAAGTCGAATTCCGATTTGTTCGAAACTCCTCCTCGTTTGACCTACTTGGCGCAAAATACGAAATCGATTTCGGAAACGGAAAAGTCTCCAGAGAACGAACTATCGATCCTAAAGAGACAAATTTTACTTACAGTTTCTCATACCCAGAGCCGGGTTGTTACCAAGCTAAACTGATCATATGGAACTTAGTAAGTCGTGTCGAGTTAACAGCACCTGTTAAAATCATGGAGCATATCACCAACGCTTCACTGAGAGCCATGCATTCTGAATACTCTGCTCATCCGGGAGCTGCGGGCGGAGGCCCGACGGGAAACACGTTCCCATTTGAATACCCAGTGTCCTTCAGTATCACTCAGGATACGGGAACTTGCTTAAAGTACGATTGGAACTATGGGGATTATGGTGAATTACGAGAAGTCGCAAAAGCAGTTACAACGCATCGTTACCCTTTGCGCGGAACCTATAATGTTACGGCTAAGGTTTACAACAGCCTTGGGACTAAGTACTTGCACAGGACAATTACGTTACAGCATTCCGTGATAGGATTGTATTTAGTTGTCAGTGGGCCAGGAAAGCCTGGAAACAACATCACTTTCGTAGTATTCTGCGCGAGCTTGGGAACAGATTCGAAATTCGTTTTCAACGCAGGCAATGGGAGTCAAAACGTCACTCTTTATCGCAAGGGATTCACTAATAACACCCAGTTAAAGGCGGAAAGACTTATTGACCAACGTATAATACTTCCATTTAATCCATCGCTTTATTATGCAAGGGTTGTTAACCATGTTTACTTAGATGAAGGACAATTTAACGCGCAAGTGTGGGCCTGGAACGAGGCCTCTAACCAAAGAGCTGGGGCTTCAGTTCTAGTGGCCAACGAAAATGTCCCTATTCCTATCGTTAAAGTGATAGGAGGAACAAACAGCCCAACGAATGATGCTGCACTGAGCTATGGAAGGCAGTTTACTCTGACCTCGCAAGTGACAATTCAAAGCGAAAAACTGTTCGTCGCGGCTTTTAGTTGGGTTGTTTACAAAGCAGACACATACAACCTTAATTTGTCATCGCCTCATCTACAGCTCCCCCCTGAGTCAGGAAGAGAAGTGGGGTAAGTTGTAGTCTTGGGTCGTCCATTTGTTGACGTCAATAACCATAAAAAATGAAAGCAGCGTGTTACAATTTTTTTTATTTTTATTACAAGTTTATTTCATAAGACACCGCGTGAACTTTTGCTGATTCCTGAGGGAAAAAAATTATCGAACAATTTTTTTCAAACTTTCCGTCAATGTTCCCAAATATTTTTGTGTCGAAAAATACAACAACAAAGATAGGTCACCGTTCATGTTTAAAAGATATGATGGGCCAAACTTACCCCATATGTGTCTGTACTGGCACTAATCACGCACGTCATTCCATCACTTTACGGTACATTTTGTGATATCTGAAAGCAAGGGCTTTTAAAGCAAAACTTGAAAAAAAACCTGATGAGTAGAAAGTCTCTAGCGTATGGAAAAATTTGACTTATAATTTGCGGAAAAATAGCGCAATTTCAAACGACATAGACTTAAAACCCTTCTTCCATCCTTCGTTGCCTTCAATAAACGAACGAAAGTCATCGTAACACTGAGACATTTTATACTAAAATATACTAAAATATACTAAAATATTCAGCGCCATAATATTATCGATGATATTATACATTCAGCTTCGGATAGTAAGATGCATTTTTTCATTCGTTTTTCACAGTCTGCCTCCAGACGTCTTGACAAATCAGTCCTCATTGGTTATTCCCGCTTTTGGCCTGTTCCCTGGCGAATATATCTTTCGACTCAAAGTGACAATAATTGATCCAGAGATCGATAACGCTGACTTCACCTTCATCAAAATTGCTGGAGCTAATATCGAGGCTAGCATTGCCGGTGGGCATTTGAGATCACATGATTGGGGACAAAGACTCTTATTGGATGCGTCCGAGTCACATGATCCACTGTCCCAAGGAAACGAAAATTTGATTTTTGTTTGGTTTTGCAAAATTACCAAAACCATTGCTGGTATCAAAAATTCTGGACTTGGTTGTTTTGGCAATGGGGATGGCCAGGTTGAATACACGGGGATAACATTTGCTGTTGAAGCAAAGCAGCTTTTTGAATCAACGACTTACGAGTTCACAGTAAATGTGAGTTCTGTAAAGACCGGTCGCTGGTCAACAGCAAACCAGCTGGTGATAGTGTTAACGGGGAATCCCCCTGACATCAAAATGCGGTAAGAGAGAGATATTATTAATTTCCAATCTGTTTTCATTTTTTGCATCGTTAGCCAAACTAGCTACTCTTTGGGTTAATCTTTCCATATTAGAAATTTTCTTCCGCATTCAACTTATTTTGTGGTTTTTTTCGTGTTCAAAATAATCTTTCGTATCTCAAGTTTCTTAATTCTTATCTTACTGTCGGTTTTAGTTGTGTTTCCAATTGTGGGAAGTACTTAGATCCTTCCAGAAGACTTCATCTCAGCACAGAATGTTTGGATTGTGTCACGGACCAACCTCTAACCTACAGCTGGTCTGTAATGAACGGAAATGCATCCGCGCCATTTGCGGTTTGGCCAGAGCGAGCTCTCACTCCTCTCAACTCTCCAGAAGCTCTTATTCTTGCAGGGACATTTAATAACAGCAGTGAATACAGAATCAAAGTGACCGTGAGTCGGCCAAACTCAGGTGATTATTTTCATTACACTAATAATCATCAACTGATCATCTAAGATGAATATTAATTAATTATCAATTACCATTAACTAGTCGAGAAGTGCACTACCAGTCATTCAGAAGTCAGTATACGGCGTGCTTTTATTAAGTTGAAAAAATTTAGGCCGGACACTTGTTCAGGCCAGCAATGCAATACGGCAATGAACTAAATTGTAAAAACTTTACGAATCGATTACAATTTGCACAATAATAACTTAGGATTAAAAATCTATGATGCTCTATTAATTTGAAGCTTTTGCATAGGGGAGAAAAAGCGGCTTGTAACAAAGGTGCATATTTGAGAAGAACCGTGTAACAGAGCGTTTGCCATGGAGGCATAGCTAGGATTTCACACAGTTGACAGTTTCGAATTCTCGTGCGTCATAACTGACGTAGCTGATACTACTACCTCCTTGAAAATCAGCAAGCTAATAGTTAGCGGTGAGAGAGATTGGCACTAGTTTAAAGGACAATATCGACTGTTAATCGTATATTGCAATTGTTTGGGTTGGAGTACATTTGAAATTGTATTTATTTTATACTCCTCCTTGAATTAACTCTTTTACTGATCCAGCGGTCACCTTTACACAAGAGAAAAAAAACCTCCCTTGTTTAAATTCCTTGCCTGTTCTTAATTTCACACGTTTTTCTTCATGCTTTCTTAAAAGCAAGCCAAGGCATCGCGGAATATATCATACTCACAAACACCCCACCACAAGGAGGCACATGTGACGTCACACCCTGGGCAGGCAGGGAACTGGATACGAGATTTAATTTCTCGTGCAGGGACTGGCAGGATGAGCATCAACCACTGACTTATGAGATGTTTATCACACACCCGGCCGACGGAAAGGTACCAGGTTCCCCTCGGAATGGTGAACTGGTCTTCTTTGGTCCTTCATTACAGGGCCAAGAAGTGCTACTTCCGGTTGGCGAAGACGAAGCTCGCTATTTCATTAGTGTTGTCGTGTTGATAAAAGACGCCTTCGGAGAATTTTCGAAAATAACGTTGCCAGTTCAGGTATTACTTTCGTTTTGGAGAAAAGCAATTAAATTATCATCCGAAGTGAAACGAAGAGTTCCCTAATGTATCATGAAGATGTCAAATTTGAGTTGTTTTTCCTTGCTCGTCTATAATTTTTCAGGTTAAGCCGAGAAATGTGACTCAAAAGGAAATTACAGATAAAACCCTCAAGGAAGATAATCAGCTAGAAAAGGAAATTGGTCGCGGAGCACTGCAAGAAGTTGTACAAATCATACACGTCATTAGCGACATACTTAACAGTCATGATGGCGACGATGTGTTTGAGGAGGAGATCAAGCAAGAGGTATGTTTCAGTCAGAAAATTACAGTAACATTTTCACGAAAGAAAGAAATGAGCAAACAGTGCACTGTTCAGAGATTACTGATCAGAGAACTGGTCTCAAAATTTCGAAACCTTCCGAGAACAAGAGTTACGATGAAGTTTAAACGAGTGTTTAATGAAAAAGAATACGACGACAAGTACCCGCGAAATGCTACCGCTGAACCATAGGAACGTCTTGTTTAGGTGTTTACATTTAACGCCGCGCGAGATAGGGAATGGCAGCACACGTTTATAAAACGACCGAACTTCTTCCTACCTGCAACGACATTGATTATTCAGATTTCTTTAACTGGGGTTCTCGAGCGGTATCTCATTGACACTCTTGATCGGAAAATTAAGGAGCACTATGAGAGAAATCCAAGACTCTGGCCGAAAACGCTACGCCTTGACGGCAGAATATTACTCCGATAACCTGGACCTTTATAAGATTTTAATTACGCGCTCTGCATATGAAAAGAGGAGGAACGTAAAAATTTGAAATTCAGATAACGGAGTAAAAATTTCTTTACTTACTAAAAATCTGGCATACGGTGAAATTGAAAGTTAGCCGTCTTAAAATTATTGGTTGATCACTTTGTCGTCTCTTTTTAATAGGTTCGGTCGGCGATGGTCGGGTACCTGGCCGAGATTCGTCCTCAAACCTTAAATGATGTATCAATAGTGTCGAGGTCTTTGAACTCCGCAACGGCTGTTCCTTCTGAGACTGAAGTAGAGGCGCAGGTAAGAAACCACATTTGTATAACTGACAGATTGGGATCAAAAAGTTTTTAGCTGCTTGATCGAGTCTGCTTCACTTCTTGCAATCTAGCGTCTCTACTAAGAGATCATCGAATCTCGAATGGTTAGGACTTCGGTTCCACACTCCCATGTTGTAAAAAGTGGGTTGCACACAAGCGTGGTCTTGTCTGAACAATGCATGTGTACGTTGTGATAGGACCGCTTCGTCGTTTTGGCTAGTGGCTCCTTAATGTTATTATTCATAAACGTGCAAAATTAAAACTAAGTTTCGTACGGTATGACTTAAGAAACTTCCAGGCCCTACAAGGTTACAAGGTTAAAATTTTTCCATAGCCGCCACCTCCTTTGCTTTATGTCAGATTCATTCAAACCAATCAGGAAGCTAACAAATTTTCATCATAACAAACGTTCATCATAACATTTTTGTATATCAATAATGGTAATAGGACTGAGTGGAGTCCAATTCGGACTGTAACCATACGAGTAATTCACAAAATCTAGCATGACTCCTATACTGTTATATTAGTGCTCAAATCGGGCTAATAATGTAATTGTTATGCTCAGGTTCAAGCAACGAAGCAGCATACTAAAATGGTGGCCTTGCTGAAAAAAGAGTCCCAAGCAGAGGAGGACGGGGGTATCATCGAAAACACCGCTGGTGAAATACTCGAAGGACTGTCTAATACATTACTGGCTTCTACCAAAAGTAGTGCTGAAAGTTTGAATGAAACGACCAAAAACGTCACAGAGGTTAACGTTCTGTATTTGTTTTATTTCTATGCGACAATGTTCCATGAGTTTCAGTAGAATGATGCCACGTCAAAAAAGGTACAATATCGAAATAGATGTAACACTAAAACAAATCGCACGAGCGTCTCGCTGATCCTGAGGTTGGTCACGTGCACGATCACTTGAACTCCTTTTTGTATTTTTCCTCAGTTTGATTGGCAGTCGAGATTATGATGGTTTTATTTCAAAACACTGTTTTCTAGGTTACTTGTAGAAAGTTTTTCGACCGAGAGTTAGTTTGAAACTTAATCATCGTACACGTAACGGCCGATTAGACCACGCAAAATGCCAGAGAAAGCCACTGAGAATTTAAATGAAATAGAAGAAACCAAGCGCGAAAATATACAAATGACCGAGTTTCAATTCCTTTGTTCTTTAATCTACTTAGTCGAGGGTGTAGCAGAAGTCTCCTAGGCCAGTCATAAAGTTTGATGAAGAATAACCAACCTAATCAGGAATTTTTTTAGACACTCAATTCAAATTGCCTGGCAGGAAATCAATCTCATCCCTGGTCATGATTTCCGCTCTACAGTCTAAGAAATGGAATTGTGTATTTTTTATTCCAGGAAGTCACATTCAAAGTCCTTCAGCTTGTGGATGACGTGTCAGACGCAGTGCTTCGCCCCATGACACTCAGCCAGAAACCGCTGGTCATAAATACCAGGAGCGTGGCTGTTGGGTTGTCTAAACGAAAGCCTGATAACCTAGCCGGGATCGCATTGAATGCGGGAGGGGAGAGTCAGTTCGTACTACCTCACAAAGTCAGCTTGGTTAATGAAACAACCAATTCGTACGTCACAACCACGGTGAGTGTTAGGATTTGGGGTCTTTCTTTTCTGTGTTGTTTTGGTTTTTAAATTGTGTTTTTCATTGTCTCGATTAAACTTCATGAAACGCCAATAATCATTTTTTGACCTTACTTAGGTGACTGAGTTATCTGCCAATCCATTCCAAAGTTCCGGTAATTTCACGTTGGTCAAATCGAATCCTTTATCTTTGGTGCTAAAAGGGAGTGACGGAGAGGCTATCCCTGTTGAAGGTCTGACATCACCAATCGATATATTACTGCCTCGAAAGGAATCTTTGCAGGTACCTATATCCCACTGAATGATAAAAAGTTGTTACCTGTTCGAATCTAATACTTAATTCGTGAGAAAAAGGACGAATGTTGAGTTGAAGTACTGTTGGCTTGTGAGAAAGCCCTCGTTGTTAATGCTGCGGCAGGAGCATTTCTTTGCTTGTGGGAGATTATGAAGCCTCGCTCTGTTGTATGTCCCGCAACTTCATGGTGAAAGCGTTAAAAAAAAAAAAAAAAAAAAAAAAACGCGAGGCGGCGAGAGATCTGCAAGGAGTGTAGCACTGATTATTTGTGCCAGACCCCCCTGCAAACCTCTCCTCGACTTGTCTCAAATCCTCTCGCAGGCTGAGAAACACGCGTCTTGCAGCGTTGATAATGAGGCTCGCATGTTTAGGCACTTTCCTAACTTTTCTCGCCATAGGTTGCGCTGAACATCTCACAAACTCCTTCTTCCGACGGATCAATGACGTTTCACAAAGTTTCCGTTCCTAACAACGACAGCGTCATTATAGCTAAAGTTCTCCCACAAGACAAGAGATCAAAATTTACTCTTTACATTCGCTACAACGAACAGCCTTCACTAACTAACTATGACTTCAAAACAAGTCTGCCATTCGAGGATTCTACGTTGGATAACTACACGATGTTTGTGTTACAAGAGCAGATGAAAGGAAAAGGGGATTACTACATTGGGGTGTTACCCATTGCGTATGACAGAGAAGCGGTAAAGACAGTAGTAAATTATACTTTTGACGTGATCTGTTCTGCTTGCTATTTCTGGGATGAGGAGGTCAAAGAATGGAGCACTAAAGGATGTCAGGTGAGGAGTGTTTCATTGTAGCAGAAATACTTTTAATGACGACTTAAAGTATCCACGATTATGCTACCGTCTTTTTTTCAATTTGGTGTCGTATAGTATGCTATCTATGGTAACCTCCGAAAACACAAAAAACATTCGATCGCAAAAAAGTGAACGGGAAGATTTAGCATTTAGACTTCGTATTAAATACTCTTTCTTTACTTTTTTCTTTATTTTTTTCTTTCTTTTTACCGATAATAAGTCACCCAAAACTTTAAATTAATTTAAAAGTGCAAATGGAATTTTTAGACCAATAAACTGACCATTAGCAGCAAATTTGTGTGCAATGTAAAATGTAGAGTGATCTTGACGTGTCTAAAGTCACCCATACACTACAAAACATTTTCAGCTAGTAAAACTTTGACAAAATTGCTTTTTAACAGCAATATAAAGCTATTCTCTGACCCGAATCTCAGATTTGCCATTGAATATTTAAAGATTAAATAAATGTTCCTTCTAGGTCAGCAACAAAACCAACCGAGATCTAACATACTGTCAGTGTTCACACTTGACATGGTTCGGTGCAGATCTGTTTATTCCACCAAATAAGCTGGACATTAAAGACTCTTTCAAGAAGCTCGCCAATATTCATAAGCATCCTGCACTGCTGGCGACCTTCTGCACAATCATTTGTCTGTATGTAGTGGGGCTCGTGTGGGCGAGGAGAAAAGACAGGCGAGATGTCGACAAGGTTTGTGTCATAAGATAATTTTTATCTGAGTTTTGAATTTATCCAGGTTTTCTTTGGTTTTGCTTTTCTTCGCCTAGTGATTTGCCTAGTAAAATTCTTCTCAACCTTTCAGATGCAAAACTAAAAGTTGTAACTGAATGATGCTTAGAGTCAGCAGAAAAAAAGTATCCTGCCTCACAATTAATGTAATTATTGTTTAAAAGTTATTGATACAAATCTACCAGCGTCCTATCTCAAATGCTGCAATCTGACTGGTTACGAGAATCGCTAAGTAGTCTGATGGTGTGCATCTGCAGATAAAGACAAACAAAAGAACGTGAGCCGGTTTTCTTGTTTTGTTTTGAGCGACCAGTAAATTTATACTTTCAAAAATTAACTCATTCGCTATATAATTCCATGCTTGAAAGTTGTTTAGTGGCTTGCCCTCATCAACTATCACGCGATAGAAATCTCGGGATCATAATATAAGTGTACATTCAATCAAGAAGGTGGCTCAGGGCCACTTAATTCTGCTACGGAATGATCATGGTCTCTTAACCACACTTCTTTTTAAATGTCTTTTCTTCTTTAGGTTGGTCTCGTACCAGTCCTCGATAACAATCCAGCGGACAGATATCGCTATGAAGTCACAGTCCACACAGCACGTGGCAAGGACACAGGGACCACAGCAAACGTCTCCATTCTTGTTGCAGGTGAGGACGGACAGAGCGCGGTGCATATGCTGAAGAGCACATCCAGGTCGTGTTTATACCCAGGCGGAGTGGACTCCTTCCTTATCACTACGCCTGAATGTCTGGGAAGTCTGACATATATCCGTATATGGCACGATAACACGGGCAAGAGTCCCTCCTGGCTACTGTCACAAGTTGTCATACGGGATATTGACACGGAAGAAAAGTTCTTTTTTCTGTGCAACCAATGGTTGGCGTGTGACCAAGGTGATGGACAAGTTGATAGGCTGCTTCCTGTGGCGGGAAAAGACGAATTGCGTGATTTTATGCACCTTTTCAAAGCAAAGACGAGTCGTGACTTTTCCGACGGACATTTGTGGTTTTCTATCGCTTTTCGACCTGTGCGGAGTCGTTTCACGTGCGTGCAGCGTGTCTCATGTTGCTTGTCTTTGTTGCTGTGCTCGATGTTGGTAAACGTAATGTGGTATCGAACACCGATGAAACAACAAAACAGCGTCATCATAGACCTGGGGTTCTTTGAATTCACTTGGCATGAGATTCTTATCGGCATTCAGTCCAGTTTAATTGTCTTCCCAATAAACTTGCTGATAGTTCAGTTGTTCCGGAATAGAGGGGTCAGTCCTAAGACCAAGAAAAAATACGTTGAGAGAACTCGTACAGAATTCAGTCCTCCAACACAAAACCTTCGTAAACAGACTGCGGTATCGCTTAGCGACATTACGCCCACAGCTCCTCAGATGAGGTCAGAGGATAGACGACAAAGGAATGTGCAGTTGAAGAACTTAACCAGCATTCGTTCACCAGTGACGGTGCGCCAGGACTCATGGGATGACGAATTGTTTTGTACGTTACTGGAGACCCAGATAAGTTACTCAAAGAAGGAGATGCAAAACAAGGGAGAGAAAGCTAAGAAAGAAAAAATGCCAATTAAAAATGATCATGAGGGAGAGGTACCAGACTATTTGTCCTCGGATATTTATTACTACTTGTACAAAGACGAGGCAATCAATTACAACAGAGGTAAGATATTACTTAAAACTAATTTATCCTTTCATTGACATTCAATCTTGTCTCCTTCCCTTTCCCGGCCATAACGCCTTCCGTGTGTCTCCTCTCTAGAAAAGCTTGTAGAGAATATACATATGTTTCTTCAAATCAATGTTTTCTCGGAGACCTTTATTGTAGAAGCTACAGGAAATTTCTTTCATTCTTTTCAAAGTTCGCCCTGAGTCTATCGGCAGTAACGAGTCCGTAAACACAACTACTGCGCTAGTGCCTCTGGAAAAACCCAAGAAAAAGAGAAAGCTGAAAATGAAATGTCTCTTTCCATGGTGGTTTGTTTACATTGGTTGGTTTTTGTGCCTATCCACGGCAACTGTGGCAGGATTTTTTACGCTTTTGTACGGGCTAAACTTCGACAACAAACAGCAAGCAGAATGGCTTATTTCTATGTTTGTGTCGATGGCACAAGACGTGTTGGTCAGTCAACCAATCAAAGTGATATTAATGGCAGTTTTATTCGCTCTACTCCTGAAGAAGCCACAAGATGAAGACGATGACGTCATCAACGCCGAGTTGGCGCGCGACGAGGAATGGCTCGAGCAAAATCTCCCGCATGTGCAAACGGGTAACGCAAAGGTCGCTGACACACAATGCCACCGCCCACCAGATAAGGTGTTTGTCGTTGTACAAGTCCTGAGTAGACAAGGACATCACAGTTTCGGTTCTTACGTTTCTGTGGTTGTTTTAGATTGTTACGTTTTTCGTTTATGTAACGTGTTTTTCGCTGCCCTTTGATTCTTTTTTGGAATTTTTGTTCTACAATCCACAAAATCCTCGCAGATTAGACATTTTTCAAACAACAACTAAGCTCAGTCTTTCATTAATTAGGAATTGCTAACCTTCAGCTCATTTTTTCATCGGTCGAGTTCTGCCCCATTTACCCCGAAAATTCAACTTTGTGACTATTCACTGCTGCTCTTGTGATTGAAAATTCAAGTGCTGTATACGACGTTGGTAGTTAATAAATGGCTGGCGTGTGAAGTCTTTTCATAATTTTAAACACAAAGGTTTCATACGCGAAAGTTCTCGTGCACGACATGTCGCATTAAAGGAATATCTGGCGCCTCAAGCTTACCTCCCCAGTTGGTGTGCGTACCTTCGCTTTCAGTGCATAAGTGTTTAAACTCTGGTACGCATTTAATTATCCAGGCTTGAGATGAAAATCATCTTTGAGTCATCTTGTTTAAAATCGTACATTTAGAATTATGTTTGATTAAATTTTATCTTAATGCTTAGCAAAGTTGAAATGAATGAGGCACTTAACCTGACAGATGTGCGTATTGTTTACTCTGAAAAAAATTTGTCCCTTGGTAATTCTGATTTCAGTTTTCATTTGTTTTTCCAGGTACTACTAAACGTTGCACGAGTCCGTTTGTTTAAAGAGCGGAAGATGCACTCTGTCATACGAGAAATAGTATTTTACTTCCTGTTTGTCTGGGTGGTACTTTTGATAGCCTACGCCCACAGAGACCCGTATGCACACCACATGACACAAAACATGGAAAATCTTTTCGTTGGTAACTACGATTCTCTCGGTTATCGCGATGAAGACAAAATCGACGTCAAGAGGAGCACCGCTTCACAGAACAACAGCATCAAACTTTACGAGGTTAGTACATGTTACACAGAGAATTTTTTGTCTTTGAAAAGATTGTGAGTTACAACATGATTTTTATGAGAATGGCAAACGGAAAATATCAGCTATGATTTTACCTTCTTTTCCTCTGATCGTTCAATTAACCTTGAAGGAAAAAAATCCAAAACATTTCTTGTTCACAACGTGAGTGAAATCTTCGTTTTGGCGCACAAACGGCAGAACTGAGAGGACAAGAAAATAATTTTTTTTTCTCATTTTGTCGCTAACGTTAGGATTTTATCCATCGACGGATTTTACCCATGCCAGGCCATTGGTAGGCACTACTACTTCTATTGTTGATTGGGCATCACTACCCACTGAACAATTAAGCCACATGTTTGAAGCGTGGAAACTTTTTAGATAGTTTTCGTACCGCGGAAACGGATTATACAATTAATCAGTACTTCCTTTGAAAAATTATTGATCTTTTGATAGCGGTAAAGGACCAGTGTCAAAATCAGGGGTTTGATTTAAGTTTAATTATAACTTGCCGCAGGGGAGAAAAAGTTTACAAAAATTCTCATTTTCACTAACGTTTACTGCTTTTCATAGGTCTCTAATGTGAACGACTTTTGGGAATGGGTTGAACAGACACTCGTCCCAGGTCTCTATAACAATGGCTGGTACAACGGCAAGTATGGACGGGCAGGCTTTTTGAATGACAAGATGTCATTTGTAGTCGGCGTTTCCCGGATGAGACAGCTGCGTGTTAAAAGCGGTAAGGAAACGAAGGCGTTAGCGTCGTCAACAGGGAGCTAGTGAAGAGATACCGTATTGAACCTAAAGTTTGCGAGAGTTGCATTTTCGATTCTTTCGGTTTTTGGTTTGTTTTTTTGTTTTTTTTTTTGCAGAATAAATTTTTCCGTTCTGAGGTGACTGAAATCTCAGTAAGAAACTGATATTTTTGCAATTTTAGGTTAAAGTTGTAGAGAATTTACAAGGAGAGAAACGTAAACGAAGTTGTCGAGATATACAGAGAGGAGTTACTAGTTGTTTCGGTACTTAATTAATTAATGGATATTTTGAACGGGTCTGAAAGCGAATAGTACGAGCTACTAACACTTCATTAGCGCGAAAAGTTCTTTGTTTGACTGAAGGGGATTAAAAAGTCTCCAAAACCAATGTTACGCAATCAGCCCTACCTTTTTGGCCAATCGGATGTGACTCCGTAACAAATTATCAAGGGAATTTTGGTCATTTAGTAACAAGGGGCTAACGCTCAAAACGTCACCTTTATAATATCTTTCCGGTGGTCAATTTACACAATCAACTCTATTGATAAAACCAAATTATATATTGAAATACCCCCAACCAAATCAGCATTGCAGTTTCTTTAGAAACCTTCCTCCTAGCTTTATTCATTTATCTACTAAGGAACTGTCTCATTGGTTTTGAAACAGGTCTCAGTTTTAGCGAGTTTCACTCCGATCGAATAATTGGTTTTGCAACTTTGCGGTCGTTTGATCCTACGTCTCCTGTCTTTCCCGCTCAAGTTTTCTTCCTATCTAATACCTAAGTTGACAGTTAACCAAACTAATGCTACTCAAAGCAGCTAAAATTGCAGAATAGGAAGGGAAAAATAGTATTGAGCTTTTATAATTTGTTTTTTACCATTTTTAGGAACATGTAAAGTTGCAAGTGCTTTTAATGTTCACATGCCGGATGCCTGTGATGATAAGTATTCCTGGGACTCCGAGGATCGGACCCCTCAATACGCGCCCGGTTGGAAAATGACCAATCAAAATGCTTCTTCCTATCCAGAGTACAGCGCATGGCGCTACAGGGGTACAACTGAACTGAAATCCCGACCTTTCCTCGGTCATCTTGCACTTTATCGCGGAGGGGGATATAAAGCAGACTTTGGGTCAACAATAGATAGCGCTAGAACTGTGATAAGTGACTTGAAATCAAACAACTGGGTCGACAAATACACGCGCGCTGTATTTGTCGAGTTCACTGTTTACAATGGATACAGCAATCTCTACTGCGTGGCGAACTTGCTGCTGGAGTTCACGGCTGCTGGTGGTGTAGTTCCCTTTATTCAGTTGTTATCAACACGTATAGACCGCTACGTTGGAAATTTTCTTCTCTTTGTCTTGATATGTGAAGTTTCTTTCGTTGTCTTCACCATTATCTTCACCTACCGCGAGTTCAAAAGACTTCTAAAGACGGATTTGAAAGAATACCTCACTGCGTTCTGGACCTGGATCGAGATAGCTCTGTTAAGTCTATCCTGGACAAGTATCGCTCTGTACTTCATCAGATTCGCGCTGGACAAGTTCACCAAAAAGACTTTTCGAGAGAACCCCAATGAATTCGTCAACTTCCACCATCTTGCTCTCGTCGATCAGTTATTTGGTTACGTTTATGCGTTTGTTGTGTTCATGATATCTGTGAAGTTTCTTCGACTTTTCAGGTTTAACCGCCGTATGTCACTTCTCGGATCCACTCTCAAGTGCGCAGCGAAGGAGCTCCTTCACTTTGGAATCATCTTTGGACTGGTTTTTGTCGGATTTTCTCACCTGTGTTACTTGGTATTTTCGCACGAGCTGTACAAATTTCACACTTTTGTCACCACGGTGGAGACCCTTATCAGTGTTATGCTCGGAAAGTTTAGTTACGTCACTCTGGAAAAAGCCAACAGGGTGCTGGGCCCGATGATGTTCTTCTTCTACAGTATAGGCGTGGTATTCATTCTTGTGAACATGTTCCTGTCAATTATCGTGGAGAATTTCAAGAGAGTGAAACGTAACAACGACCTTCAGTCTAACGAGTACGAGATCGTGGACTTCATGACGGAACATTTTATGAACTGGTTAGGTCTTACGTCAAGATCGATTTTCAAAAATCGAGTATTCTCTGAGAGGCATCTACAGAAGCCTTTGTACAAGAAGAGAAAGAAAATAGATAAAGCAGCAGAGTTGAAAGACAAAGTCGATCGACTGGTCTCGCTCATTCAAAGGGTTCACTTTGATAGCAATGATGACGACTTCCTCAGAAACGATGGAGAAGTGACTTATCAAATTCCTGATATCAAACTCGAAACTTATTCTTAAGCTCAACACTTAAGACCGATTAGTACACAGAGTAATATTGAACAAAACGATGAAAGTAAACTTCTTGTCATTTACTAGCGGCAATAAACCAATAATTGGTGGAAAATTCCCTAAAAGGGACCAAAGTTTTCTTATGGATATATTCAGACTAATGCATTATTTAGCAGCCGAAATGACAATCTGTCACCAGATTTTGAGGTTAATTTGAGGGGTGCAATCAAATAACCTTTGTAAATGATAAAGAAACTACTTTTGAGAATAAAGTTCATTTTAAGGGTTTTTCAAGAGATAAATTTACGAGAAACTTGTGTTGCAAAATGATTGCAAAGCAATCTGGAAGAGGATTGTGTTTCGCACAAATGGCAAGCTCTTTCCTGAAACCTGCCTCAGATATTATTTAACAAAAGTAGCAATAAACGATTGGGAATTACAGTATCATGGAGGAGATTGCAGGGTTGTGTTAGAACGAAGGTAAACGCGTAGGAGAAAAGTTGTGCTTTTATTGATTCCAAGCGCTCTCGCCGAATCCCTCTTCACAAGAGATCTAGTGTGACCAAACGGGTTGCATTAGTTAGTTTTTTTTTTGCGCTACTCCTACGATATTGCTTCATATTTTCGATAATGAAACGTCTGACATTCCAATTGTTTTCTGACTCAAATCAACTTCTTCTGTTTCGACCCGCAAGCGGCGAATGCAGTTTCCCTCCGTCAGCAAAGTTCAGTTGACTTGATCCCTGCTTAAGATTTCGCTTGAATTCATCCTGCAAAGGCCTTGGAAATTTTACGTCTAGGAATTGATATTTTTGGAAATTTTAACAAACGCAAGATTAAGAATATCAAATCAGTTCTTGGGTAATAGCAGCGCTTTTATCTCAGTTATCTTGTTCTCAGTTGTGTCGACATTATCTAAGATTCAATGAATAATCCCTTTAACCCCTGAGGCTGACCAACACATGATTTCTCACTAAGGTATTATCGCTGAATGAAATGTTGGGCTCGTGAGAATTAGAGAGATGATCGCAAAACCTTGCAATTTCTTGACTTTTAACCATACTATATTTGTAAATGCCATAGGAAAAGTATAAAGACTACTATGGAGAATGTACATGCTGATCTTTCAAGCGGGGGAGGGGGGGGGAGGTTAAGCATTTGAGCCACACGAGAGTCAACTTGCTCCAAATGTAAATGATCAATCAATTTTAATTTGCACAACTATCACCCACATTTGCATCATTGATCATGCCCCAACAACTATACATCCTTAAGTTCTGTTCGTACAATAGAGGATACACTTTCATGAGCTTTAAAATTCTGATATGCTTATAATTTAAATTCCAAAAATCAGGGTATTCAAATAGTAATTTCAAATTTTCTTTAAAATTCTTTTGCTAATTTATGAAAGTTTCTGAAAAAAATGTTGTTTCCAATAAAGATGCAAAATTTGACGGTGAGTAACAAGTCTTACAAAAGACAGAACGAGTTCATTCAGAGAAGGATAGGAACACAGAAAACCATATCAGATATCTTGGAGTAATTAATCGATAATATTGTAAGATGATCACTCACACATTTCAAATAATTACTATTTGCGAGATCATTTTGCTAAGTTATTGAAAATATTTGCTCGACATTTTCTATACGAAAAGAATTATAAACGTTTAAATGCTATTTATAATGCACTAGTATGAAATAATTATGAATACGTTAGTTATAAAGATCGAGAATTGATTATCGATTAACTATCATCTATGGATTGTACGATTGATAAGTATGTAATTTTCTTTACTTTGCTTCAATATCTAACAATTAACTAACCATGCCTCGGTCATATCAAACTGAGATTTGGTTTGCGATGTCAAAATAGAAACAATCGTTTCGCTAACGGTAACTACAAACGAACAATTTCCTGGGTAAGAACGAAGTAAGAAGTTCCCAAGAACAATGCAAAGACTATAACAAATCGGATTATAAATCGTTGGATGAAATAACTTAATTCGAATGCTTCAAGTAGCCCGCCACATGGCTAGACTCTTAAATGTTCTAAAAATAAACTGCTCAATTCTCCAACGGACTAAGACAAAGTTGCACGAGGAGATTGCGGGAAAAAGTTGATCTTGTGCGCAAGCTATGAATGATCAAGTTGAGTTTTGTTTGTGTGTTTGTTTTCATTTCAAAAGTTTACTATGTTTCTGTGCGTCATATTTAATGCCACTAGGGTCTACCTCGTCTCCTATACCTTTTCTGCCAACTAGTGCTGAGAATGAATTGACCAGACAGTAGCAAATTAGATTCCAACTTATCACGTGATGATAATCTTTTCCCCTCGTTGACGCTGGAACTGCTCCGCCAAGTTCTCAAATCTCTTCATTCCTTGGACGGCCAATGCAGCAGCTTTAAACTTCTTCTTAGCGGCGGGATTCTGACCAAGATACTCCCTACTTAGAGAGACGTCCGCAGGGCCTCCCACCCATTGGTGAGCTAACACTTCCTCAGCGCTGTAACGCTTGTTATGATTCACGACAAGGAGCTTGGAAATCAAGTCTTTAGCTTCGCTGGAGACGTTATCCCAGTAGGGTGAGAGGAATTCGTAGTCCCCATCCATGATCAGATCGAATAGTTCATCCTGGTCTTTCTTGGCGCTGCGGAATGGCGGGAACCCACAGAGCATGATGTAGGTGATGACACCCGCGGCCCACATGTCTACCTTGAGCCCGTATCCAGTCTCTTCAAGGATTTCGGGTGCTACATATGTGGGAGTGCCACAAACTGTGAAGATCGGTGCTTTGACGACCATTGCTAACCCGAAATCAGCCAGCTTAAGAATTACTTGACCACTGGGCTTTTTGTGGACCTAAGACAAGGTTAAGATTACATGTTAGGAGATATCACTTCCAAGAGATTTCTTTTCCCCCCATTTCCACCCTACTCTATTGTAGTCTCTTTTAAGATGTCACGCAATGTTCTCCCAAGAAGGGTAGCGTTGCGCAACATCCCAAAGAACGTCTGCGAAGGTGTCTATTCCTTTCCATGACTAATGGAAAACATCACTGCTTTTCTTATCCTGTCTTCAACAATACTATGAAGTTTTCACTTATTGAGGGGGAAAATATTTCCGAAAGATAAACATGCTTTAAAAAAAAAAAGGAGAAATAAACCACCATTCCCAAAACAAAATACAATTTGCACGTAAGAATAACTATAAGAAACTTTAAATCAAGTTGCGCGTGTTTTCACATTCTTTTTGCTTATAAACTCCTACCGAGCAACAATGGGTAAAAACAAAAGAACCGGTTGAGAAACATTTTTGCATAAGAGAAAGATAAGGCATTCCGTCGGTCTCCATGCTAACATATTTTCAGAATAAACGACAGAAAGGAACCCTAATACCTTCATCAATAAATACTGTGTAATTCTGGAAAAAATGTTTCGTGCAACATTCCCTGTGAGTCGTGCTAAGAAAGCCAAAACGAGAACGAGGAAGAAAAGCAAATAACACTGAAAGAAGTGTGTATGTTAGAACACGTACCAAGGCTCTCGCGCGAGAATTCTCGCGAGTACGTGTTAGTCTAAGTCACTCATGCCAGATAATCAAAGTCACAGTTGTAAGTTAAGTTTAGCAGGTGCTCATTTACCCAACCATTGATCTTTTACGCGGAGGAAAACTACGCGAAGTCTGGCAAAATACACACCCGGGCACACATGAAGAAATGACGCATGAATGGAAATTGCTGATCTTCCCTTGTAAACATTTACGACCGGAGACCCTGCTTCACGAGAGGGTCATGAGGCTCCGTTGTTCTTTAACTAAAAAATTGTTCCGTAATTTCCGCCGGGAAAAGAAATTGAGACACGCTTGAAAGATAATTCTACGTGAATGAAATAGTGCATGACAATCAAAATGACTAAAATTAACGGTTAAATTCGGAGCATTTTGGCCACAATTAAGCGGTATCGCAGGAGGCATGAAGTTGCCATGGTTTCTCTCACTACACTTTTAAGCTGTTAAAGTTTGTTCAAACAAAGTCGGGGTTTTTTAATATAACCAAGGCGTCACTATTGTTTGATTTCAAAACATAGCGGCGATGAATTTTCCTGCCTTTGTATTCGAAACACAATAGCAACATTAGGCGCTAAATGTTTGACTCTCCAACAATTTAGCATTGACATTAGTAAAAATTAGTCCACGGTTGTATTTTCACAGTCCGTAGCTCAGCGTGAATTAACAATAATTGCTTTATTACTAACCAGCAAATTTTCAGGCTTCAAGTCTCTGTGCACAATCTTTCTCTTGTGTAAATAAGCTAGTGCCCTTGCGATGTCTTTGACGTAATTTTTGGTGACAGTTTCGGTAAACTTGACCGACGATGAAATTGCATCGAAGAGATCACCTCCCTTGATTAACTCCATAACAAGATAAATATGCCTGATTGAGTCGTAATCTTCGTACATTCGTACAATATTCGGGTGCTTACATCTTCTCATGATGTCTATTTCGTCCCGAATCATTTGTTCTTTCCCTCTTATTTTTGCCTTGTCGACGATTTTTAACGCAAATTCTTTCTTGGTTATCTTATCGCTGCAAACACGAACATCAGCAAAATTTCCGTCTCCGATTTTCTTGCCCATGTCGTAGACATCTTCTACAGTTTTGTCTGTAACAGTACCATATTTTGCCTCCTCTTCTGATGTTATTCCACTGTCATCCTTTGAGGTTTTTCTGTCAACTTTATCGTTTTCACGTTTTCTACTTACGGACACTTTTCTACTGGGTTTAGTCGCGTCTTCTCCGCGTACGTTATATGGCTTATTCGATTCGTTAACTCGGTCATTTTCTTCGTTGTTCGCTCGAGAAACGTCTCGGTTTTCTACATTCTCCTTTTCCGAATTTGAAACTAAATTAGCGTTCCCGATTTGGGGCAACTTTACAGAGTTTGCAGGCTTTTTCTCCGCAGTTCTTTCATGCACATTTTTAGCACGATGAACGCGTTTCGGGTTTGAGTTTCCTTGCAAGTGTGTTCTGTTATTGTTCTCCGGCCTTTGTTTATTATCGACCTTTTCATGTATGTCTGGAAGCCTAGGCAGCTTGTTTTCCTCGGCTTTGTGAACAGATTTACCGACCAGCTGCTCGTGTTCTTTGGTATTTCTTTGTTTTGATTGTGACATTCCATCGTTACCACTTCTCGACTGTTTTCGTTTCGCATTTTCTTTTTTCGAGTTCCTCTGCTCAAAATCCTCTATGATATCCGTGATGTCGTCACGGCTAAATTTCTCGCTTCCAACGGCTATAAATATATTGTTTTCGTCCCGAAATAACTCAACCACATCGCGAATCTGGTGACCCGATGTTGAGTACAGTTTCCGCGGTGGGCTAAGACCACCAGTGTTTCCAAACGAATTGCTTACTTCGTCCAAAACTTGCTCTAAATTCTGCGCTGTTCTTTTGTTTAACAGAACTGTTACTACCGGACGGGGTTTCTGCGACCCATTTCTAATCACCTGAACTGTTTTAGGTTTGATGATCAACCGATTGTTGTCTCCTGGATTTGATCTTGGGTCGGAGTAACCCCGTCTCCTCGAAGAGACACCACCTCTTACCGGCGTAACACCGACAGGCCGGCGTTTTGGCTCGCTGTGATGCATACCTTGGATATCAGGAAGATCGATGTGTTGTTTTGAGCTCCAGATGGTGATGGCAGGCTTTCCTCCGTATGAAATCTTCTTTAGGCTTGAGTGTGAAGAGCATACGTAAGCTTTCCCGTCAATTAACTGATCCAATGTGTCAACCCTGATGCCACTCTCAAGGGAAAATAGATACCGGACTCCCAGGGGTAAGTCTTTGAAGTGCGTCAGACGACACAACTCATTCAAAAGCATGTCCACGTTTCGAAATCGCCTTGGAGTAATTACCATGACTTGGCCCTTAAAGTTACGATCCCCGTTGATAAAGAAAGTAACTTTCTTTGATGTTTGACTAACTTCGTGATCAGATCGTACGGCAAAATTTATCTTCGTGGCCGCCATCTTTGATCGGTTTCGCTTACTGTCTCTGTTTCGCTCAAAACAGACTTCTTTTGTTGTTTCTTAGTGTCGAAGAAAACTTCACCGCTCTTCCGCTTTGATATAAATCCTTATCGATGACTGTAACATCGCGACGAATCGACGAGATAGGAAATCTTTTTCCCGGCACTAAGAGAATTACACTATGTCAATTCGCCGGAAGAGCGAACGAACAGTTGTTTAAGCTATTTGAGACTGGGTTCGTTCAAAGAAAAACCCACACTTTCGAGATTCCAATGCTGCCATAGACAACTACGAAGTTACACTGAAAGGATGTGAAACTCAAAGCCAAGCGAAACCTGTTCGGAGCGAGGTGCTAACCTATCGCCAGATACGTTAAAATCCGAACGTTTACTCTTCACATTTTGACATCACAAGCGTGCATTCATTAACTGCACGCGTGTGGTGTTGTTTCAAGTTGCTACGCAACGAGGTGTTACGGTTATCTGCTCTTCCGGTATGTGTTTTATATTATTTACCTCTCACTTGGACCTTTTGTCAATCAAATTAACCTAAAATCATTATGCATAAGTAACCAAGTACAGACTTAGTGAAAATATGCTTGTGTATATAACTTTTGGTCATATAAGGACGGATTAACTTTAGCCGCAATTAATGTATGTGATCACGCAATTTTTACGTTTGAGCAGATGTTTGCGTGAAAAAATTACAGAAATTCTAACCAACCATCGGTAATCGAACACAGCTTGAGTTTTGGATATTGGCCAAGGAAAACAAAATTTCGATTAGAATAAGGGTCCGTAAGGGAGTGTCAAAAAGTACTAGGAAACGACACTTGAAGTCATTTGACCCCTCTCGGGCTTTTATTAGATTTCTCTATCTGAACAGGCTTTAAATCGCATCTTGTGTCTATGGCTAGTCTGTCACGCAATGGTCCTCCCCATGCGGAGGCTGTAACATGTCACGCGGCTGAGAAGACGTAAGTTTTGCGATTCTATCTTCCCGCTGCATAAGTCACTAACCAATCCTTCTAGAAACGCCGAGATTTTTGTTTTGACAAAAAACAAAC